GGATAATATTATTAATCATAGTTACCCTACTGTGCATTAGCACTTCTTCCTATCCAATTATAACTCTATACCCGTTGACCAATCTCTTCTTATCCCCTTTCACTTCTACCCTCCTCAGCCTCTGTTATACTCTTCTATTCTCTACTTCAGGGCATCAGGTTCTTTAAGTTTCACTTATGAATGAGAACACATGGTGTTAGTCTTTCTGCATCTTGTATAGTTCACCTAACATAAAGTCTCCCAGGTTAATTTATGTTGCTTAAATGACAGAATTCTTCTTTTTTAATGGCTGACTAGTATTCGACTGTGTATTTACATCAGATTTTCTTTATCTATTCTTCAATTTCTCAATACCTAGGTTGACTTTATGTGTTGGCAATTGTGGATGGTGCTGTAATAAGCACAAATGTATAGATATCTCTTCAACATACTGATTTCATTTTGACTAGATTCTGCCAAAACCATAAGGTACTTGAAAACAAATCACTGGAGCTTCTAATAAATCAGAATAGTAGACAGCCTGAGTTTTACTTTGTAATACCTTGAGCACAGAATGTAATCTCTATATTTGCTTGTTTTTTTCTAGAGAATTGTTGTTTTTCTCAACTTATGTTAATTTTTATGTAGTAATAGAAATTAACGTAGTTATGTTTTATATTCTAGAATAGTATAATTAACAAGACCTAGGTTTCTTGAGTCCTCCAAGTAGTAAAGCTTTAAATTCACTACACTGTTTTACACAAATATCTCTTTAATACTGGGCCATTAATCATTTTCCAATAATTAATTAGCACAGTTAATCTCATAATCACAAGAAAACATTCTTGTTTTAATTAAGCATCAAGGTAAAACTGCAATAAGTTTTTGATGCAAAATTTGAAATTTGAACATAAATGAAATATGTGATGTGGAAATATAAGAATTTTTTTCTGGGAGGATGATCAAGAATTTTATATGTTCTAATGAGAATGTTATGAAGAAAAAGGATTTATTTGTAGAACTATAAAAATGCATAGTTATCCAAATCATAGTAAAATATAACATGTTTGATGCTGCTTCTTTAAGGATAGTCTTTCCAGTAAGCATTTTTCTGCTATGAAGACTATTTTTATGAATTACATTATTTCCCATTAATAATACTGATATTCACAGATATGGATATATATGTGTATATATATATATGTGTGTGTGTGTGTGTCCTGTTTTTTTCTTTAGACAACTTACTATATTAGTAACAAGTGATCTGTTTGAAGTTATTAATGTGGAGTTTGGAATTTTAATATATAGCTACAAACTATAATTTATGGTAATTTATAAAAAATACATTGTTACTTTGTATTCAGAGACAATTTTCAAAAGAGTATAGTAAAAATTTTTCTCCATTTTATTTTAAACTGATCAATTTTTTCCAATAATTTAGATGGGATGGTGAAAAATTCTATTTCTTATTTCTAAGGTATTAGGACTCACTGTCAGATATAAGAAAACTATAATTTGCTCTTCACTAGATGTCTATATAAATATTGAGATCCTTTGTAAATATTTTAAATCCTTTCAAATTGCTCAGGAAGCAGTAGATATGTACCTCACTAAGCTCTCTAAGTCAATAGAATTGACTTCTAGTTATCTATATATATGTATATGTCCTGTTAGCTCAAATAGATTAGAAAATAATAGAAAGTGTACATGGAGTTTCTGTACCAACTTTGTTAATTTTAATTTTTTTTCACCTAGTACACTATTCCTGGGGAATAAATGAAAATTTGGCATTTTAATAAAGGGTAACTAAATATTTTCAAGAAGTAAAAGGCATACATACACTACTATTATTAGCATTATATGAACCTTTTTATATTTCATAAGTTTACAGTTTTCCATAAACAGTTTAATTATTTTTATAAATCTCCATTAATATATAAAAATTTAGGTTTTAAATAAATGAAACCATCTATTATAACATGTCAGAATATCACTAGACTAGATCATTACATTTCCATTAATTAGTTCCGTTAATTATACCAACATTTAACAAAATATTTTTTTATATTTTATGATCAGAGCCAAGACCATTGACATTAAGCAAACCATCCCACAAGGAGAAAAGTAGTTTATTTGTATTACTTTATACATTTCCTGATGCTTATCAAGCCACCAGTAAGCGATTCTCCTCAAGGCTTTTCTTTCAAAACCACCTATAAAAGTTAGAAGAGAAAGTTTAATTCACGAATGTTAAATCACACTCCCACGAGATGGAGTTCAGTTTCACAATGAATGGAGTCACCAGATGGACAACTCACCATGCGTACCACTACAGAAATTTTCTTCACCTCAAAGAACTGAGGCTCTCCTGGGAAAACAGAGAAAATATTGTCATGCTGGTCTGAAAGGATTCAATCAACAATGCTGCATAAAAGATTTTGCATGGTATCTTTTTTTTTTGGTACCAGGGATCGAACTCAGGTCCTTACTCTTGCGAGGCAGGCAGCAGAACCACTGAGCTAAATCCCCGGCCCTTGCATGGTATCTTGTAAATACTAGATTCTCAATAAATGCCCAGTCAAGCCCACACTTTCTCACTATTGCCATGGAATTTACATATATGATAATTTATCAAACTTTGCAAAAATATGGTCACATATACATGCATTAATTTTATTCAATCTTGTCCTTGCTACTGTAGAGTACATTAACCTAAAAGACTAACATGCATTTGTGCAAATATGAGGAATCCATTTACACAAACATGTATTTTAAGCATATGAGGGGTTAGAGTAATTTATATATAAAAGCTACTTGAGGTAATTAGAATTGTTTTCATAAAATAATATTTTATTTGTTTGATTTTTATATTAAAAATTCTATAATTTATGCTATATTTTAGCTAAAACATTTTTTGTATTTTCAATATGTTATGTTACTATTTCTTACAATGTTTTTTTAATTACTTGTATGCAGTCCATAATTATTACATTCCTTGTGGGAAGTTGGTACATGTATGTAACTTATTTTAATTCTTTTTCATCTTCTTCTTCTCCCTTTCCTTCCCTTTTCCATCATCTCTTGATCTCCTTATCATTTGAGAAATATCTATCTCCCTACTTCCTATTATTTAATTTTTATTTTTCTCTTTATTTATAATTTGGGTTTCATATATAAGAGAACTTGTATGATACTTAATCTAGTGTATCTGAATTATTTCACTTGATGTGACCTTGAAGTGCATCCATTTTCCTACAAGTAGCTCAGGTTTATCCTTCTTTATGGGAGTATCGTTGTTTGTAGTAGTACCACACCTATGTTTGTATATATTTCATTTTCTTCATTCATCTGTTGATGGACATATAGACAACTTCCAAGATTTAGCTATTATGAATTGTGCTGCTATAAACTTGGATATTCATGGATAACTGTAATATGATGACTTTAAGTTTGGGTTGAAAAAGATATCTAGAAAGAGAATTCCTGGGTCCAATGAAATTTCTCCTTTTAATTTTTTGAGGCATCTCCATGGTGATTTTTATAATGGTTGTACTAGTTTGCATTCCCACCAACAATGTAAAAGTAACAGTCCAATGTAAAAATTTTCCCTTGCAGCCTCATCAGCAATTATTATTATTATTATTTGCTTCCTTGATGACAGTCATTCTTTCTGGGGTTAGATGTAATTTCAGTGTTCTATTTGCGTTTCTCTAATGGCCATTAACACTGAACATTTCTACAGGAATTTATTAGACATTTATACTACTTCTACTGAGAAGTGTCTATTCATTTTATTTGCCTATTTTTGATTGGGTCCTTATTTCACGGAGCTTATTTTTTTGAGATTTTTATATATTCTAGATATTAAACCTCAGTCTGAGGAATAGCTGGTAAATTTTTTCCCATTCTGTAAGTTCTCTCTTCATTCTGTTGTTTTTTTGTGTTTTTTGTGTTTTTTTGTTGTTTGTTTGTTTTTTGCTGTGCATAAGCTTTTAGATTTGATATGATATACTTTGTTTATTCTTAATACTATTTCCTGGGCAATGGGGATTCTGTTTAGGAAGTCTTTGCCTACACCTATGTCTTCAAGAGCTTCACCTATTTTTTTTCTTCCAGCTGATTATATCTGTTTTAACACTTAGGTCTTTGATCCATTTTTATTTTAGTTTAGTACTTGCTGAAAAATATGGCTCTAGATTCAGTCTTCTGCATGCAGATTTATTCCTAGCGCCATTTGTTAAAGAGACCATCTTTCCTCCAGTGTATGTTTTGGCTATAAACTTGGGTATGCATATATCACTCTAATATGCTTTCTTTTTAAATAGTTAAACGCATTTAGGGTTGTTTCTGCATCCTCTCTTCATCGATCTCCGTGTCTGTTTTTGTGCCATTTCCATGCCAATTTTACCATTGTAGCTTTGTAATATAACTTCAGATCTGGGATTGTGATGTGTCCCACTTTGCTCTTGTTACCCAGGATTGCTTTTGCTATTCTGAGTCTCTTCTGTTTTTGTTTGAATTTTGAGATTGTTTTCTCCACTTCTGTGAAGACTGTTATTGGTATTTTGATTGGGATTGTGTTTAATCTTTGTATCAGTTTGGGAGCTCTGGTCAATTTTGATTAAATTTGTTCTGTCTATCCAGGGACAGGTGATAGCTTTCCAACTTCTGAAATCCTTCTTGATCTTTGTTGGAATACTGGTTTTTTTGTGTGTAGGCATGGATCTCCAGTGTAACACTCGAATGTTGTTAAAATTTACTTTATTTTGACCCAAATATTATTATCTTTGAAAAAAGATTTCAAGTTAGAAAATAAAGTTTTATACTCTCTTACATGACAGAAATTTAGAATTGTTATGCTTATGTGCATGTAGATGCTTATAATGAATATTATTGTTTAGGTTCTATGTTTAATAAATAATTACTTACTGACAAAAGTTTGTAGGCCTGCCCACACATTATTTCTCTACCTCATAGAAATTCAAAGAAAAATGAAATATTATCCACTTTTCTCTTTTCAGAAAGGTGCCGTTTAGAGATTAAGGAATGCGCCAGTGACCACGCGGGACCCAACTGACAAATTGGTAATTTTACCACAGATTTGATCTGCATGACCACACATCACATGGGAAGCATTTATTTAGTATTCCTCTAGTGACAAGTAAACAAAGCGTTCTTATTGTACTTTTGTAAGAACAACCCCAGTTCTAATTGCTATCCAGAAAGAAAAATGTTAAATTAATTAAGAAAGATTGGTGCAAAACTACCTTTAATTTAGTTAAAAAGTATAAAACATAAAACAATATTTTAGAATATGGACTTTCATTACATGTTATGTGAGATATAATTTTTAAAAAATTTATGTAGAGCTTGATAGTTGGTGGATATTAAAAAAAACATAATTCTGTGCAGAGGTTATTACTGAGGAAATGGGGCCCTGACTTGAATAGATAGAAAAAGAAGTATTTGGTGAAGAAAGTTGTGATAGAAAAAGAATCTGCTGGATAAGCTAGTCTAGAAAATAGACTTGAACGTTGTAATTTTGAATTTATGCTAACAATGGGGAATGCCTGAACTGATTAAGGAAAAATGAGGCTGAGGACAAGGAAGCTGATTAAGAGAAAATTACAGCAGTTAAAAGCGACCTGGGCCTTCACTGGACATTATTCTGTTGAAAATACAAGAAAATCGTATTTAGGCAACAAAAACTAGTCAAGTTTGGCCAAAGATGAAGAAAAAATGTAGGTTTCACTTTGGTAATTAACCAAGTGATTAAACTATGACCATTTTTTACATCTACTAAGTGGAAGTTATATGAATCTCTTTAATGTTTTACATCAGTGTTCCCTAAATGGATATGACAAATTAAGTATGAAACCAGAGTGGAAAGGTTGGAAATGTTCTAACATCTTATTTTGATGTTTTTTCTTAGGCTTCTCTTTGTCAGCTGGAAAAATGCATACAATTACATTAATTCCTATGACTTTTCTGCATTTTTCAAAAGTAGGTTATATTCCACAAATTAAGGGCAAGCCCCGGCTCCTTAGAAACTCATAGCCATGTGGAAAAACATAACACAAACAGGTATTTTTAGAGACTGTCATGAGACCTGCACTTTTAACTAGAGAAGAAGGCAGAATTCTTCCTGCAGTAAAGCACGACTGTCCAGCATTGCTTCCAACTGTGAAGGAAGTGCAATCTTAGGCAACTGCATCTTGTTAAAAATGAAAGTGAGCAGAGGATACTGACAGATTCTTCCAGGCAGAGAGAAAAGTATGTACAAAGGCATGAAATGATATGACCCTAGAAAGGTGATTTATTCAGAAGTGTTGGATTCAAGTAAGATAACTTATTGGTGCATAAGCCAATTAAATGACCATGGCAGTCAAACAGTGAGACAAGTACATCTTCACTCATTAACAAAGTGTGGCTCTGTTCAAATCCACTTCCAATTTTGCATCTAAACCTAGAACACTGGCTTATAAGTGTTTCAAAAGGATTCAGCCTCATTGGTTTTCACTCAATGTCCCATTATACCCCCAGGACAAACATATTTATCTGTTGGTTCAAAATCCTTCAATATCTTTTAATCCCTCCCAAGATGCACTCTAAAAAAATAAAATTTATTTGAACAAATAAAATTTCTCCATTCATCGTGTCAACTCATACATTAAACTAGTAGTCATTTCAAAGTGCTTATCATACCTTAACTTATGCTTAACTTGTATGTATTTCAGGTCCACTTATCTTACATCATCTGCACATGCTTTCTCTACACATGAATATATGCTAAACAGGCCAACATATTTGTATGCCACACCTTCAAAACTTTTTTGAAATACCACTCACCCTTTGAATGTTTTCCTCAACTGGGCCTTTCTCAAACTCACCTTACTTTTGTCATGTCTTAGGAATCCTTTTATACAACAGCTTATCATCCTGTATCAATTTGCCAATTTGCCTATTACTTATTTTACATAACAACTTAGTAAAGGTTAAACTTTTTGAAAGCCAAGAGCCTTTTTTTTTTTTTTTTTTTTTTTTTTTGTACTGGGGATTGAACTCACAACCTTGCGCTTGCCAGGCAGATGCAGTGCAACTGAGCTAAATCCCTGCCCCGATAGGATCCTAAAACAACACTAAGAAAAATCTAAATCTAAAAAAAAAGTTTGTGAAAACAAATGATTATGTAAAGAATTATCAATGAGGAAGTTTGGATTTTAGCCTTTGAATGATGGTTAATTAAGACGTTTGGCAGAAGAGCAGTGGTTTAATGGTGAGATTACTTTTTATAAATATGATGTTGGGTACAATATGTAATAGACACTGTGGATTTGTTTGTTCAACATGCTTTCCAACTAACATCCCTTTTGTACTGCATTGGCTGGAAACTTTAAAACTGCTTTCCCAGACTCTATTGCAGCATGAGTACCAGATGGAATTTAAGTTTCTCTAATCAGTGCACTAACAGGAGGCTGCACAGAATTGAGTTGGTTATGGGGAAAGGCAGAGTAATTTGTTGTTTGGATTAGCTCACAGGCAACGTGATTCTAGAGCAAGTTACTGGAGTAATTACAGCTAAAGTAGCTCATTTTGTGCCCTAGTTCTTGGTGTAGTTTTGTCTATTTTTTCTGCCCCATTAAAGATTCTGTGAGCTATCTGTACTATTTAATAAAACCCTTTCTTATTTACCTAGTCAGGATGGATTTCCTTTTTTATATAACTAAGAATCTTGGTCAAGGAAGAGTATGAACAATTGAATGGAACTTACAGGGAAAGGAGACAGCATTTACACTATACAATTGCGACCGGACAAGTGGCTAAGAACAGGCAAAGCTTAGGGTATGGAAATTACAACATGAGAACAGCTTTGAGAGACAGCTTTTGAAAAAAAATATATGACTTTAATATTATTTAAAAATGGAAGGAAGGATGAAAAAAATCAGAATGAAAAAGAATTCCAAGAGGGATCAGATATTTAGGGAAAGGAATTTCTATTATGCTTGGTGTAATACTGTTCAACAATGAGAAGGGCATCAGGAAAAAATGTATTGCACATATTAAACTAGATTGTGAGGAAGAAAATTTGGATATATTTACAGGGATTGAAATCAATCCCTCAACTACCAGATACAAAATTAGCAACTACAAATACTACTGTATTTCAAATTGTATAAAAATAATCTATAAGGTTAATAAGTAATAAATACTTAAGTGCAACTACCAATTTGAAAATCAAGTGAATTTTTCCTTTCCAATATTAAATAGCCTGCATAATATTCTATCATATTAATAAACCACAAAATATGTGTGAACCTTAAATTACCTGTACTCTTTGGAATCATCTCATTCTTATTTTTAATTTTCACCTATTAACATTTTTCCTTTAGGGGTCTCTTAAATTGTTACAACACTCTCAAATTTGCAATTACTTTTAAACTACATAATCATTTTAAACAAAATATTTGATGTGGCCATATAACTAATTGAGCCATGATAATATACATAAATCTGACTGAAAATGTAGGAACATATTTTACACTTTGCATGATTGTCTCAAAATCTCATGTATTGAAAAAATTAAACGTGTGAAGTTTCTGTTATGTGTGTATATATAGTACGTGCAATATGTTTGCATTATTTCCCAAGTTTTCTTCAAATGCAGATGTTAATATAATTTATTTAAACATTGGACTAGAAGATGGGCATGTTGGTAGCATATTTGAAAATAGCCTGGAAAGCAGAGTAAGACCTAGTTCTAAAACATAGAAAGAATGCATAAATAAATAAATAAATGCATACATACATACATGCATACATAAATATTGGAGTAAACACAAAGCAGGTTTTATGAGATGTTACGAAGCAATGAATTTGACAATCTTTGTATCAGAAAATCTGCTTCTAAGACTACAACTCCTTTCAATTTAGGTCCAGCTCCATAGAAATCAAGAGCACTTCCTTCCACCCTGGGTGTTAAAGGGTCCTCCCTAGAAGGAAAGAAAGAATCAAGGCTCGGACAAATGTCTCTTTCAGCCAAATTATCAACATTTCAATAGTTTACAGGGGAAAAAAGGAATGATTTGATATTTGCATACCCTAGATCCTTGTAGCTGTTTGTCAATGTTGCTTTCTCAGATAGTGGATCCACCCTTCTGGATTTATATTTACTCTTGATACTATTATTGTTATTTTTATTGAATCTTTTCTTTAAAAACAGTCTATGAAGTGCATTTACTGTAACAACAGAGAAATAGGGGCCAACACTAAATATGAACTCAATGGAGAAGACAACACCCAGAATACTCTGTGGTATTTCAATTATAAAAATGAAATATTTTCAGTTAAACACATGACTACCAATGCACAGTGGAGGAACACCTTGATGATAGGAATGAAATAACAGAGTGTGATTATTCTCTTACAATATAAATTTTGCTTTATGTAGTGTTTTGAGGTATAAAAGCCAATTGCATTATGATATCTTGAGAGTGGTTATTTTCTTAGAATAAATTCCCCATTATATTATTTTTATTATTTTGTTAAGCAAGTATTTATCAAGTAGAGGAAGTCTATGGCTTCTTCTAACTGAAAAAAAAAGGTGTTTGTTTACAAATATCTGTAAAAAATATAGTTACTGTCTACTATTCTAATTCTCTATAATGCTTATAGATATTATATCTTAGTTTTTATAATGGTAGTTACTATACATCATAAAAAGTGTGTAGACTTTACTTTAATTCATCCTTTTATATCAACTTAAAGTGAAAATCTGTAAATTTTTGCTACTCTGTTTTGGTTCCCAAATTAGAATCACTCTTATTTCATGGCCTACATACTACAAGCACAATGTTCACTTCTTGTTTGATGGTATTTTCCTGTGGCTTAATTTAATGAAAATATCAAGGGATAATTCACATTCTTAAGTTCATCAGTTATGCCATGTTCTTAGATGACACAATGGTTTTGTGTTTAAAGTGTTGAAGCATCATTTTTTCTCACATGAATTTTAGTTATTCATTTCAGTCCCATAAAAAAACCTTGATTTTTATAATTTTCAGTGTTTTCTTACTTCAATCTATAC